TTTGTTTGGAAGTTATAACTGTTTTTTGGAATTTTTTTTTTTGGGTCATTCCGTAATAATTATTCGGTTTTTTTTTCTAAATTTTTACTTTTTTGCAATAAAAAAATATTATCTATCGCAAAAAATATGGTTTTCAAGTTTTATAAGAATCCGTTAATGTTTTTCGAATTTATAACCATTTTTTGGAATTTTTTTTTGGGACATTCCGTAATAATTATGCACTTTTTTTCTAAATTTGTATTTTTTCGCCCTTAAAGAATACCATTCGTTGCAAGGAACATAATTACCAAATTTCATTACGATTCGTTAATTTCTTTAGAAGTTACAACCGGTTTTTGGATTTTTTTTGGGGTCATTCCGTAATAATTATTCGTTTTTTTTCTAAATTTTTACCTTTCTGCAATAAAAAAATGTTATCTATCGCAAAGAACATCGTTTTCAAATTTCATAAGAATTCGTTAATGTTTTACGAATTTATAACCGTTTTTTGGAATTTTTTTTTGGGACATTCCGTAATAACTGCGTTTTTTTCTAAATTTGTATTTTTTCGCCCTTAAAGACTGTCATTTATTGCGAAAAATAATCTTTGAAGTGATTTTTCGTTTATATAAAAATTTATTCTAATAAAAAAAAAAAAAACAGTCAAATGGAAGTTCGATGAAAAAAAAAATAATTTGAACAAATAAAAATTCGGCTAAAAGAAAATTGGAATAAAAATTCAAATTTTAGGTATTATTCATGAATAATTAAATACTGTTTATAAATTTTGAAACTGAATGCTATAAATATTTTGAAATAAAGAAAATTCACGAGACTTGATGTTTCAATTTTATGGTGAACTTCCCCCTTGATCGTAATGGCTGTAAAAGGTAAAGAGCCTTTAATAGATAACAAAAGCGAAGTGGAGGACACTTGGGAGAGGGATAAGAAGGCTTTTGAGAATTCACGCGTTTGCGGAGGGAGAGAGAGAGAGAGAGACACCCCACGAAGAACAGCGGTAATGGCGAAACGCTCCGGATGCCAATGTCCATAGATGGTCAACACACTCTTGAGATATCTATGTACCTATGTTTTATACGGAATAGAGAAAAGCGTATTTTTATCTAAAAGACACATACACTGACATTTAGTTTAGCTTAACTAAAGTTATATGGAAAGAGAAAAAAAAAGAGAGAGAGAAAGAGATCGAACTCATGGAAAATTGTACATTCTCTCTATATATCGCTCGTATGTATTTATACTTCTTTCCAAGTCAGTGGATAAGCTTTAAGTGGCCACAGCAGCGGCCATTGTCATTATATATATATACATGGGGCGTTCCATCTCATAACTTCCTTAAAAATGAAATTTAAAAAATTTTTTTTCAACATGTGTGTTAATTCAACTTTTCAAAAATTTTATGGAAAAAATTATAAAATTAAAATTTTTTCTAATTTAAAGGTTACATAATCTTATTTTATGTTTATATTTTTTTCAAAAAAAAAAAACTATTTCCTTTTACAAAAATTTTAAGCCTATTCCCAGCTCATAAGAAAACAATTTTTTCAATATTTTTCGAAAGTTTTTAAAAATTTTTTCAATTCTTTAAATATATTTCGTTAAAATATCTCTAATTTTGAAAAATTCAGGAAAAAATTTGAAAAAAGAATCATGACTCTTTTTTGGAGGGGGACAAAATGGTTAAAAAAAAAAAAATTGAGCCTGATCAAAAAGTCGAGAAAAAGTTGGTTTGGCATGGAACGCCTCATATATATGTGTATATTGAGAAACGGTATATATATAAGTATTTTGTGAAATGGAGGCGAACAAAACGGAACTTGCGGGAGTCACTCTTGTAAAGAGTCCGCAAACCATAAATGGGACACATAGGTATATATGAGAGTGAGCTGCCGCAAGGAACAATAACGCGCGTTTTACTTGTTCTTATTGCTATATCTATTGTAGACTTTTACTCCCGAGCGTGTTTGTAGATTAATAAACAACAAGCCATTGTCAAAGAATTTCTACAAATTTTCTCTCTCTCTCTCTCTCTTTCTTTATTTCTCTTTTATATTAAATTTAGAATTTTAACTCGCTTTTATTATTTTTATTTTATTATTTTCCGACTAAATACTATTTTGTTTAAATTTTCTTCAAAATTAAAAAAAAAAAAATATATTGATTTTTATAAACTGGCTTTACAGTATGATGAATAAAAAAAAATGATATTCCAAAAAATGTTGATTTTTTTCTATTTTAATAAAATTTAATTGGTTAATAAATATTTTTTCATTAAATAATTAAATGTTATTAGATATTAAATTTATTTTATTAATTCGAGATAAATTCTATAAAAATATAATGTATCAAGAAAATTTATTTCGAATATTTCAGAATCGATTTTTTTATAATTTTTTTCAAGTCTGATTTTTAAGCAATTTATTTGAATTAAAAATTTTGTCCTTTGTTTTTAGTTTATGATGGTCAAAAAAATTTCAGACAATACTTAATCAAGTTTTATAGATTTTTAAATAACAATTTTTTTTTTTACAGAATAATAATTTTGAAAGAGTTAAAATTGCAATTTTTGGAAATAATTGAATTTCAAAAGATTGTATTAAATTTCAAACAATAATTATAATTAGATCAATTTTTGGAGATTTCTATTTATGAAGAATTTATTATATAAATCATATGAAAAAAATTGAATTTCAAAAGTTTTAAATTAAAAAAATGCTTTTGGATAATTGAATTTTTGAAGAATATTATAAAAATTAATAAAAAGTAATTAAAATTTTTGCAAATAATTAAATTTAAAAAGTGATTTTGAATAAAAAATTTTTGGTAATTTTATTTACTAATTTTTTTTTAAATTATAAACAATTATTAAATTTCATAAAAATTTTAATTGAAAAATAGTTTAAGATAATTGAAAAATGTAAATTGGATATATTTAATAAATAAATGCTTTTTATATTTTTAAACAAATTTTAAAATTAATTTTTCACAGAATGAAAATTACTTCTAAACTAATTTTTTTCTTCAAAAAAAGTAATTCTTTATTTTTTCAAACCGAAAACCGTCTTGTAAAATATAAAAAACTTGATTTTATTCATATTTTTCAAAAAAAAAACTGAAATTTCTAATTTATTTAAATTAAATTTTAGAATTAATTTTCCCTTAAAAAAAAAAAGAATTCCAATTTTTCTAATTCAAGCCTCAGATTGACTTTAGAAAGAGAAAGAAGTTGTTTTAGTTGATTTTCATTAAAACAAAAATCGAAAAAGTCGATATTTTTTATTTTTCATAAATTTTATTAGTTAATAAATATTTTATTATTATTAACATTAATTATTAGAAATTATTTTTTTCTAATTTTTATAACAAGAATGTTTCACATGAACAATTCCATCAATTTTTTTTTTAAACTTCAGAATTAAACTATGACAAATTTTTAAGATTTCAATTTAATAGGACAAATTTTGAAAAATAATAATTTAATGTTACTTTAAAAGAAGAAAAAAATTCCAAGTCATTGTATAAATTATTCGAATTCAGAATTTTGGCAAATGTTTTTTAAAATAATTAAATTTTCAATGAATGAATTTTCAATTGTTTAAAATATTATTGAAAAAAATTTATTTATTAATTGAAATTGTTGTAAATTTGAATTATGCTGAAAATTATTCAGAAATTTTTAAACAGTAATTAAATTTTAAAGAATTTTTAATGAAAAAAAATTTGAATTTTTGAAAAATTAAATTAAAATTATTGAAATAATTAATTTAGCGAAGAATTTTAGATAAAAATTTTCGAAGTAATTGAATTTTGAAGAGATAAGTTTTTAAGAAATAATTAAAATTTCAGGAGATATACAAAAAAAATTTTTTGGTAAATTTCGAATAGAGGAAGATTTTTTACAAATTTCAGAAGATAATTAAATTTAAAAAAAAAAACATTTAATTGAGAAATGTGTTTATTAATGGAATTTTTGAAGACTTTGATTTAAAGTAATCAGAAATAATTAATTCAAGAAGAAATTTAATTAAAATTTTTCTAAATATTTCCAGTTACAATTGTTTAAAAAACAATTGAATTTCAGGAGATTTTTAATCAAAATTTTCGTTATTTTAAATTGCTGAATATTTTTTTTGTAAAATTTAGACAATAACTGAATTTCAGAAAAATTTGTGTCACATTCAATTTTCAAGAAATTTTTTTGTATTGTTTCAAGTATTTGTAAGAGTATTAAAAAATTGTTTAGAACCTTTTGTAAAATTAAAAATTAAAAATTGATTAATTCAATTTTTATGATTGAAATAAAAAAGCAGACAAAACTAGAATTACTATATTTTCTATATATAAATATATGTACGATGAGAAAATGTAGCATCATGATAAGTGAATCAAGGCTCTTATTGAATCCAAGACCTTGGGCATTTTACAATTTCAGAAAATAGAAACGATTTTCTCAGTTTCTTGGGATTCTAATTTTTTTTCTTTTTCTTTTTCTTTAACTCCCCTTCGATAGCAATATGGAACGTCCATAGGATCGACTGCGAGGTTTTTTTCCATTTGTGTTTTAGTTTAGAATTCATTTTCTATCCTTGAAGGTGAGACGAATGCGATTTACAATTGCGGTAATACACTGTCTTTCAAAAAAAAAAAAATTTATAAGGAGATGCACTGACTCGGCTTATTTCCTGATGGTAATTGCGCAAAATTACCGTATAGAGTCTTTTCACGGCTTCGTGACTAACCAAAAAAAGAAAAAAATAAATAAAATAAAATCCTATTCACGAGCTGCAAAATCTCTCTCTCGTATAATTATATAAAGAAATCTTCGCAATTTATTATGTTTCACTATCACTTTTTTTCTGTTAACTAAAGACATTATTTGGCTGTTAATTTTGAAAAAAAATCTATTTTTGTTTATTCTTTTTGGTAATCTTAATAAAAATTTATATAGATGAGAAGTTATTTTCGTTGATTGAATATAGTACATCGAATTTGAAACTTACTGGTATTCGTGCCGGATAGCCTCTCAATTTTTATAGAACCATCGGTGTCGGGCGTTGGTGCAAGACCTGGATAAGAACCCGCCGTTTGCGCTACTGTCACCGTCGGATGTGGACTCGTCTAAAAAAAAATTCAATATTAATATTAAATCTACGTCTAATTATCGCAAAAAAAAAAAAAAATTTATACTCTAAACCAAATTAATATTATCATTATTATTATTCTACAAAAAAAATTTTAATTTTTTGATCAGAGAAATGTTGACATTTTTTTGAATTTCGAATTTATTTTCATTTTAAAATATCGTTGATTTTGATTTCACTTAAATACTTATTTTCATTGACATAAAAATTTTTGATTACGAAAAAATAAATAGAAGAAAAAAAAAACTTACCAGGTGATCGAGTTGCTGCGGTGACGTGTGGGAATATAAGGAACCATGTGGACCAACGGGTGCGAGGTGAAGTGCAATTTGACTCTCGGCGTGATTCCTGAGAACGTTTATGGCATCGTCCAGTCGTTCCTCCATCCGCGTTCCCTGTACCAACAGAATACCGAAAAACCGACTCGATTACACATCAGTTATGTGCTAACACATTAATATCGTGGACAGTATTTCTTTTTTTTTTTTTGAACATTAAAAAAAAAATAATAATAATAACAAAAGAAAAATTGCTTTTAAGAGACACTTTTACGAGAAAGAAAGACCTCTATTATAACAATTTGCTGTAAAATCTCGCACGATTTGTACACTTTTTTTTTTTTTTTTATGGTGCGTGACAAAATTCAAAAAGAAAATTCATGCATTACTTTTTTTTTATTTTATAATTTCATTTTTTTTTCTCTATTTTTTTTTTTAAAGCTGTCGAAATTCTTAAGTCAAAAATGTTATATATTTAATTAATTCCCTTCACCGTTAGTATTAAAGACAGAGAGAAAAAAAGAAAGAAAGAGAGAGAGAGAATGAAAGGTTTTGCACGTTTAACGACTATGTTGAAATATTTATATAGAAAAAAAAAAATAACAATTCTTTTATTTGTATTGCAAAAGGGTTTTCAAAATTTTAATTGAAAAAAAAGTATCAAAAAAGTGGCATCTTTCAAAAAAAAAAAAGAAAAATTAGTTTTCTATTGACATTAAAGTGTAAATATTTTTCTTATCTAAAAAAATTGAATGAAAAATTCTTAGGAATGAAATTAACATTTTTCTTCTAATTATTTTTAAAAAAAAATTATCTATTGTTAAATTTCGATTAAGTTTTTTGTTTTTGGCACAACAGTATGATTATTCCATAAAAATTATTTTTCACATAAATTTTTATTTTACAAAATAGCATTTAATAGAGAATTTTTTTTTTTTTGAAACGAATGTTTACTCAACGGAATTTTCAAATTATCGAATTTTTATTTGACAGAATTATAATTTAATCTATTTTTAATTTCTTAGAATTCTCATTCAGTAGAATTTTAACTAATTCGAATTTTTAAATCTTAGAATTTGGAATCGGAATCTTATATAAAGTATTTAGTATTTTAAAACAATAATTTTAATTAAAAATCTCGAAAAAATTCAATTACTTTTAAAATTTTTATCTAAAATTCTTTGCTAAATTAATAATTTCAATTCAATTATTTAAAAATTCAAATAAAACATTTTTCAATTCAAAATAATCTAAAATTCAATTATTGTCTGAATTTCGGTTAAATTAGAATTATTTAAAAAAAAATACAGTTGGGTAAAGAGAAATTTTGTAAAATAAAAATTCTGTTAAAAAAATTTGCCAATTTAAAAATTCTATTGAATAAAAGGTCGTTTTAAAAAGAAATTATGTTAAATGCTATTTTGAAAAATGAAAATTCGTTTAAAAAAATAATTATATAAAGCAATATTTTACGCGGCAAATATAATAAATCATCAACTTGGCGAGATTTTAGGAATCAAAAAAATTCGCTAAAATTTAAAATTCTTGAATTGTTGTCATTTTTTAAATTATTTTTTTTTGAAAAAGTAGCATTTAATGGCTTTTGGACAAAATTAGTAGTTAAAAAAGTAGCCTTATCGAAAAAAAAGTATCAAAAAAGTAAAAAAAAATGTGTCACTTCGAAGCCTGCAATACTATAAAAGTATATAGTTATTAGGTTAAAATTTTAAACTTTAAAAATAATTCCATGTTAATTAAAAAAAAATTTTTTCCTAAATAACTGAAATTTTGTAGTAACGTAGAAAAAAAAATTGAAATTATTAGCATAGATTAAATTTTTTTTTCATGGAAAATTTTCCATTAAAATGCATTTTTCGAATACAAAGAATTTCAATTTTTTTCAATCAAACAAAACATAAAAAAAAGGTTTTTCTTTACCACAGGCGAATATTCATGCGTTCTCTGTAACTGCTACTATTGTTATTGTTATTTTATTATTAATTATTATTATTATACTTATTTTATTATTTTTTTATTATTTTTTATTGTTTCCTTTATTATTTTTTTATTAATATAATTTTATTATTATTTTATTATTATTATTATTATTTTTTTGTCATTTTTTATTGTTATTTTTTATTATCGTTATTATTATTATTATTATTTATAATTTATTATTGTCGTTCAACGTGCGGCGAAAATGAATAAATTAAAGAAGAAAATGAAAAGAAAAGTTTTGTTATATTTAGATTATTTATAATATTTATATAAAATGGGGTAGAAGAAAACAAAATGAATCGGCGATCCTCACCTCGGCGTGGTCGCGAAGGAAACCAATGGCATCGTCTAACCTCTGCTGTTCGGGCGCCGGCTTCACACACAACACCAACGCAACAACAAAACCAAAAAAAAAAAGAGAGAGAACAACCAAATCAACACAACGTACACAAACAAAGGGCTTAAAAACAAAATAAAAGGAGAGAGAAAAAAAAAAAAAAAAAAACAGTGCGAAATGAATGGTTTGTCACGATTCGGTGTGGTGGAAAAAAAAAAATTGATAATTTTAATAACTGAAAAAGAAAAAAAATTTTTTTTTTTTCTTCAACACAGGGGACGCATGAATATTTTCTTTTTTTTTTAATTTATCCAAATATTTGGATTTTTTTCAATGAAAAAAAAGTATTTACATTTAAAAAAAAAAAAAATCGTATAAATAAAATAAAACATTTTTTTTTTCATTTTAATGAAAATGAAAATTTTCATCACATATAGAAAATAGTCTCTTTCCTGTCAAAAAAAAAAATATTTAAACTTGGAATAAAAAAAAAAAAAATTCTTTAAAAAAAAATTAAATTTGTCAAAAATTTTTTTTTGTAACTATTTTTTTGTTTTAAATTTTTTATTTAAAAAAACGACGAAAAATTGAAAATTAAACAAAAATTTTGTTTTGTCCGCTTCGATTATTCTTTAATTTTTTTTTTTTTTTTTTTTTTAATTATTTCGAATAAATTTTGCGGGAATTAAACAGAAAGAAATATATCACAAAAATTTTTGGGAAATATTCATGCGTCCACAAATGAAGTAGAATGCGCATGAATATTCCCTAAAAAAAAAATTATTAGTTCGAATTTTCAATGAATCTAATTCTTTTTATTTAACCGAATTTTTATAGAAAAAAAAAAAATTAAAATTAATATAAAAATTAATATTAAACCTAATTTTCACGTATTTGTAGAATTTTTCATCATTCTTTTAATTACAAAAATTGAGTAAAATAAAAATTTCTCATTAGGGTCATTCCATTATATTTCACCTAAAGTCGTTGCGGCCTAATTTTTAAAGAAGTTGATACTTTCAGAAATGATTTTTAATGATATTTAGGAAACGAAATAAAAAGAATTAAGTTAAAATTTTTATTATTTACCTCAAAATATGTATTTAAAGTGGACAAGGTGCGGAAAAATGTCACCTTTTTAGCATTTAGAAACTTTTTTTAAAAACATAGAAAAATTGTTAAAAGTGTAAAAAAAATTATTTTTTCTTGTTTAGAATCGATTAATTATCTATTTTTTAATGATTAAAGTAGTAAATAAATTAAAATAATATATAAAATAAGTTTTCAAAGTTGGTCTGTCAAATAACCTAATTTTGGGATTTTTATTAATTAATTACTAAAAAGTGGAGTTATTAAATAAAATAAAAACTTACCGAATGTAAAGTATTTGTGGTGAACTTTCAAATTTTCTTAGCACTTTGTACTTTTTAAATTTATAAATGTAAAAAATCTTGAGTCGAAAATTTGCACTTTGTTGACTTTTCCGATTTTTAATCGCTTGTAACTCTTTTGGTGCAAAATAAAAACTTTTGAAACCTTGTGGAATATTTAAGTTAAATCTAAATAAAAACTCACTTAAATTTTTGTGATGGATTTTGATCGAGATAAGGAGAAAATTTAATTCCAAAATTGTACGTATATTTCCAGGTTAATGTATGTAATTTTTTTAAACTTGAAGTTGGGCCACTACTTCAAAGACGAAAAATTACATACATTAACCTGGAAATATACGTACAATTTTGGAATTAAATTTTCTCCTTATCTCGATCAAAATCCATCACGAAAATTACAGTGAGTTTTTATTTAGATATAACTTAAATATTCCGCCAGGTTTCAAAAGTTTTTATTTTGCACCAAAAGAGTTACAAGCGATTAAAAATCGGAAAAGTCAACAAAGTGCAAATTTTCGACTCAAGATTTTTTACATTTATAAATTTAAAAAGTACAAAGTGCTAAGAAAATTTGAAAGTTCACCACAAATACTTTACATTCGGTAAGTTTTTATTTTATTTAATAACTCCACTTTTTAGTAATTAATTAATAAAAATCCCAAAATTAGGTTATTTGACAGACCAACTTTGAAAACTTATTTTATATATTATTTTAATTTATTTACTACTTTAATCATTAAAAAATAGATAATTAATCGATTCTAAACAAGAAAAAATAATTTTTTTTACACTTTTAACAATTTTTCTATGTTTTTAAAAAAAGTTTCTAAATGCTAAAAAGGTGACATTTTTCCGCACCTTGTCCACTTTAAATACATATTTTGAGATAAATAATAAAAATTTAAACTTAATTCTTTTTATTTCGTTTCCTAAATATTATAAAGAATCATTTCTGAAAGTACCAAGTTTTTTAAAAATTAGGCCGCAACGACTTTAGGTGAAATATAATGGAATGACCCATTATGAAAATTCAATTTAATATAACATAAATTTTTGAATGTAATATTTATTTATTAATAAATATTAATATTAATTAATTATTAATAATGTAATATTAATTAATTATCAATAATGTAAATAATAATTAATTATTAATAATATAATAATAATTAATTAATATTAATATTTAATAATAATAAAAATAATTAATATTTATAATTTCGAAACATTGAATATTTGAACTAATGATGTTTAGGGAATATTCATATACTTTCTTTCCCCTCGAAACCTTTCTGAATGATGATTATAATATGTTAATTGGTTAAAATTTTAGCTGAACTCGAAATGCGAACATTGAAAGTTGACCGTGTTAAAAATGAAGGTCGAAGGTGCGTTTTTAATTAAATATATATATATATACAAAAACCTATATCCTTCACCACGTAGAATTTCGTTATTGATTTACAATTTTTTTTCTGTTTTTTTTAGCTTAATGAGGTGATTGTTTTATTATTCACAGGACACAGTACAGTAATAATCATATTTAAATTTAAGTTCGCAGATAATTTTTTTCTTTTTAATAATTAATTCATATTTTTTGGTATACATAATTTAATTCAAAAAAAAAAAATCTATTAATCTAATAAAAATTAATAATCGAAGGTGACAAGAGAGAAAAAAAAAAAAGATTGTGTAATTTGCTGATGAAGATTACTGTACATCGTAGTCGTGCGAGAGATTAGTAAAGCAAATCGTGAGAATCCACATACGCACGCAAATCATATCGCAACTTGAAAAAAAAAATCCAGAACGGGAATAAAAACAAAAAAGGCAATTATATAAAAAAAAAAAGAAAAAAAAACAATAATCAGTGATTGTTTGAAAACAAAAAAAAAACACACAACTGCTTGTGCGAGAAAAATTTTTTTAAAAAATTTTTAACGAATAATGTAAAAAAAAAAAACTGAATTTCAGCTTGAAATAAGGAAAAATAAAATACATACCATGTGAATCGTCCCGCGATTAGGATCTGCCGTAAAATGGGGTGAAACTGGAGCAGCTCCGGGCGCCCAACCAGGCCCCGAGCTCGTCAATGGTGGCGGTGAACTCACCGGCGTTGACGGATTACTGCTATAACTCGATACTGATTGGTCCGTGGGGTAGATCTACAAAAAATGATGATCAAATTATTTATATGCCATATTACCCCACTTTCTTTTTTTTCTTTTCTTCTTAAACATTTTATCTCGAAATTTTTAAAATGATGCTAAAAAAAAATTTGCTTCCAATAAATATTATTTTTTACTATGTCGTATTACCCCACATAAAATGACACATTACCCCTCACCTCAGGCTTCACAGCATAAAAATATACTTTAAAAAAAAAGCGGGGGGAGGGAAAATTTTATTTGAAAAAAGGGGAAAAATAGGGTAAAACCTAAATGCACATATTTTTCTTAACCAAAATGTTTTAAAGTTATTTTAAATTACTTCAAAAAATTCAAAAAAAAATGAAAACATTTTTCAATTTAAAAAAAAAAAGATTTGAAATTTAATTTTTGCTTTTAATTTCTAATAAATAAAATTCTTCAGTGACAGAAATAACCGTAATTTTGAAATAAAAATCAAGTTTAATTACTTTCAAAAAAAAAATTTGAATTGTAAATCTTCGAAATAACAATTATTTGCAAAATTTGAATAAGTAATTTGTCGAAAACTTTTTTTTTTAAAAAAAAAAATCTAAGTTAGGAAAAATTTAATTATTTTCTATTATTATATAATATTATATAATAATATATATCTATTAAATTATAAAAAAATTTAGTTCAATTTAGCTAAAAATTTAATTTTTGAAAATTTTTAATACAAATTAGTATAAAAACGGAGAAAAATTAAATTTTCAAAGTTCAAATCTGCCATAAATTGAATTATTTCTAAAAAAAAAATTTTATTATCGATTAGAAATTCAGTTATTTTACAAATATTCAATTATTTTTCAAAATTACAATTATAATTGGTCAAAAACTGAAAAAAAAATTAGAATGCAAAATTAGAATGTTTTCCAAATTTTCAATAAAAATACCAATTCAATAATTATTTAAAATTTAAAAAAAAAAACGTCAATTAAAATTACCAAAAATTTCAATTAAAAATCAACTGAAATTGAATTATTTTCAAAAATTTCAATTTAAAACCTAAAATTTATTTATTTCTAAAATTTTTCCATCTAATTTCAATTCTAAATTCAATTCTGTAAAATTTAATTATTGCCTAAAATTTAACAAAATAAAATTCAATTATTTTTTTTTAAACTTCAATATTATTTAAAAAAGTTTCACATAAAAACTCTAACATTGAATTAACATTAATTTAAAGTTACTTTAAAAGAAGAAAAAAATTCCAAGTCATTGTTCAAATTTAATTCGAATTCAGAATTTTGACAAATATTTTAAATAATTAAATTTTCAAAGAAATTGATTAAAATATTATTGAAAAAAATTAATTTATTAATTAAAATTGTTGTAGAATCGCTGAAAATTATTGACAAAATTTTAAACGGTAATTGAATTTTAAAGAATTCTTAAAAAAAAAATTTGAATTTTTGAAAAATTGAATTAAAATGATTAAAATAAAAATTTGAATTACATATATCTAATAAATTAATGCTTTTTATTTTTTAAATTTATATTAATATTAATTTTCCTCAGAATGAAAATTACCTCTAAACTAATTTTTTTTCTTGAAAAATGCAATTTTTTATTTTATCAAACCGAAAAACTGTGAAGCCTGACATATAATATAATATAATATAATAACATATAACCCTAGTTTATTAAATAAATAAATAATTAAATAAACAGGATGTCTAACAACTCCTAGGAAAAAAATTCCCTGACTTTTCCCTGACCTAAATTACGCTAAAAAATTTTTATTTTGATCAAATAAAATTTAGTAAAATTATAAAAAGTAGATTTTCTAGTACATCGAATTTCAAAATTAATACAATTTCAATTTAACGGAATTTATGTCAAGAGAAATTTTCACTGAAAAAAATTAATTGTTATCCAAATTTAAAAAATCATTTATTAGATTCAATAAATAGTAGGGTCATTCCATTTTATTTCACCTATAGTCGTTGCAGCCTATTTTTAGAAAAATTTGATATTTCGTATTAATGACTTTTAATATCCGTACAATTCATTTTTGACAATTATTTTATGAAATTTTTTTTTATTTACGTTGAAATTTAGTTTATAAGTTGAGTTGAACGGAAAATAGGTTAGTTTGACAACTTTGGAAATTTTATAAAAAAAGAACAGAAATAATTTAGTTATTAAATTTTTTTCATTGATATTTGTTGAAAATAGTCTAATTTACCAATGTTAATTGATAATTGTGTAAAAAAAGGTCAAAATACTACGTGAAAATTAATATTCAAACTTACCTGTAAAATGTCGAAATTTGTCACATTTTATTTATATTTTCCAAGAAAGTTTATAAATATTATAAAATTCATTACTATACCTAACAATAAGTACTTTCCATGTACTTTCACATGATATGTTGGCTTTTTATTTTTATAATATAGAAATATGTGAAATTTTACCTTGAATATTGAACTTTTCAGGATTTTATCAGATTTTGAACACTTAGATCTTCGCAGGCGATTAATGAAAAAATCCCATTTTGGTATTAAAATTTAAGTTAAGTTTTTTTTATTCATCTTATCAAAATTTGGTGATTATGGAGAACGAGCTACTTTTTATTTTTATTCACTTTAAAAAATCCACCTTAAAATACGAATTTAAAGGTTAAAAAACAAGTAATTTTATAAAACTGAAGTTGATTTTCTCAATATAGATTTACGGAGTGGCTATTTCGCCCGTCGCGGGCGAACTAATTCATTTCTGTTATTTCGCCCGTCGCGGGCGAAATAGATACGGCTGTGAGAACTGGCTATTTCGCCCGTCGAAATGAATGTGTTTTAGAAGACGGGCAAAATAAGAAAAATAGATTATTTCGCCCGTTCAAGATAAAATCGAGTATCTGGAAGACGGGCGAGTATATTATTTCGTCCGTTAAGTATAGACAGCTGTTTTTTAGATAATGAGAAAAAATAATTTCACTTTTTTTAAATATAACAAATAAGATGGATAGAAAAAAGACGTCTGAGTATAGGTCTAATATTATTTATTTATATCTTTTGGAGTATTTGGTTTAATAAAATAGAAGAAATTTAAATTAAAAAAAAGTTCTTAAAAATTCTTTAAATTAATACTTAATTATTTTCTATTTTTTTTCAAAAAATTTTATTAATTAAAGTTTTGAGAATATTTGTAACATAAAATTTGTTTGTAATTATTAACTTGAAGATTTTTCAAATATTTATTTTACACGTTTTTGAGACGTGACTTTAAAGAATAATAATTATTTTATCTAAGAAATTGTATTGGAAAAAAAATTAATATATTTATAGAGGTATTAATTACTCTTATTAAATAATTAAAAAAATTTAATATTTTATAGTAATGGTAAATAAATATAATTAAAATTATAAAAAAATTAATCTAATATTAAAATTATAAATTATAATTATTAAATTTAACTAATTAAAATTACGATGTTGAAGTCGAAAACAATTAAAATTGATCGTCATCGATTTAAAAATATTAATATTTTTTCAAATAATTAATAATATTTTTTATAAATTTTTCTTTTGACGAAAAAATTGCAAAAAAATTTTTTCTTAAAAATTGAAAAAATCATTTTAAAAAATTTTTTTCATGAAAAATGAAAAAAAATTTTTTTTAAATTTTGTTTATTAAACTTTGGTAATAAAAATTGTGGATTTTAATTTTGTAATTTAAATAAGAATTCAAAAATCGACTATTTCTGAAATTTTTGTATATTTGCATCTCTACATTCAACGAGTAAATAAAATTGAAGACAATCAAAATAAAGAATGCCATATGAACTATTTTCGATACCAAATAGATTTTCAAACAACGCACCGTCGTTTTCAATATTTAAAGAATATACTATATGGAGTATAATCTCACATTGATATATATAAAACCATGATTCTGCTGAGAAAGAAATCAGAAAAACCCTTTTTTTATCGAAACACAAAAAATAAATGAGACCATCAAATTTGTTTATCAAATATATGATATTTAACATAAATTGCAAAATAAAAGTTAAAATAATTTTAGTTTGTAAATTGAAATATACAACAGCTGTTTATACCTAGCGGGCTAAATATTGTATTTTGATTATTTCGCCCGTTTTTGTTTAAACATTTCACGGACGAAATAATATACTCGCCCGTCTTCCAGATACTCGATTTTATCTTGAACGGGCGAAATAATCTATTTTTCTTATTTTGCCCGTCTTCTAAAACACATTCATTTCGACGGGCGAAATAGCCAGTTCACACAGTCGTATCTATTTCGCCCGCGACGGGCGAAATAACAGAAATGAATTAGTTCGCCCGAGCGGGCGAAATAGAAACAGCCATAGATTTATTTGTATGAATTTTATTTATAAAAATACTTGTTTTTTAACACTTCAAATTCTTATATTTTACGGTGAATTTTTTAAAGTGAATAAAAATAAAAAATAGCTCGTTCTTCATCATCAAATTTTGATAAGATGAATAAAGAAGATTTAACTTAAATTTTTAAACCAAAATGGGATTTTTTCATTAATCACCTGCGAAGATATAAGTGTTCAAAATCAAATAAAATCCTGAAAAGTTTAACATTCAAGGTAAAACTTCACATATTTCTATATTATAAAAATAAAAAGCCAACATATGTGAAAGTACTTGGAAAGTACTTATTGTTAGGTAGTAATGAATTTTATAATATTTATAAACTTTCTTGGAAAATATAAATAAAATGTGACAAATTTCGACATTTTACAGGTAAGTTTGAATATTAATTTTCACGTAGTATTTTGACCTTTTTTTACACAATTATCAATTAACATTGGTAAATTAGACTATTTTAAACAAATATAAATGAAAAAAAATTTAATAACTAAATTATTTCTGTTCTTTTTTATAAAATTTCCAAAGTTGTCAAACTAACCTATTTTCCGTTCAACTAAACTTAAAAACTAAATTTCAACGTAAATAAAAAAAAAATTTCATAAAATAATTGTCAAAAATGAATTGTACGGATATTCAAAGTGATTAATACGAAATATCAATTTTTTCTAAAAAAAGGCTGCAACGACTATAGGTGAAATAAAATGGAATGTTAGTAAATAATTATTTACTGACTTTTCCCTGGGGCGCATGATTATCATATAAAAATCATAAGTTAGAATTTTAATTTAAATGAAATTTATTAGATATAATTATTTTTTAGATGAATTTTTAATTTTTAAATTGTAATTCGACATAATTTCTCTTTAAACGAATTTTTATTGTACAGAATTCTTAAAACGCCTAATTTTTATTCGTTCGAAATTGCAAATGGCCAAAGAAACAATTATCAGAAACCTTTTTGCACGTTTTTTAAAAATTGACCAATCAGAAATTGTCAAGAAAATCGTGATCAATTTTAAAAAACGCACCGAAATCGTTTATTCGGCCATTTGCAATTTTGGATAAATAAAAATTCGACGGTTTTAAAAATTCTCTACAATTAAAATTCGTTTAAAGAAAAAAATTGTGTCAAATTCTAATTCAAAAAAATGAAAATTCGTGTAAAAAATAATTATATTTAATAAAATATTTCTTTCTTTCAAATTCAAAATTCTAACCAAAATGATTTTTATGGGAGAATAATGCGCTCCATTTTCCCTAATCATTAGACATCCTGAGTGACATATATTACCCCCCATTTGATTGAAATACCATATTATCCCTGCTCCAAATTATTGGTTCTAATTCAGTATTAATAAAGACATAAAAGAAGAAAGAGAAGAAGCGTCGTTGCTTACTCGGGGTGTGCTCACAACTGATGCAAGGGTTTTGCCGAGATTGTCCGTAGCGGAGGGTTGATTGGTGGTGGGTGCACTGGGGGCGGAAGACGGTGCACCAGCTGCCGGTGCACTTGGACTATGGCTATATTGCAACGATGCCGGTGATGCGGTACCAGTTCCGCTGTTCGTTGCTACCGCGCCACTTCCACGGAACGTCGACATTGGTGGCAACGACGCTGCACTCGTAACTGCTGATCCTAAAATTGGCGCTGGCGGTTCACCGTTTGGCGACATTGCCGAGTATGCCTGAAAATAGAAATTATTATTATTATTATTGCCATTATTAGTATTATTATTAGTATTATTATTAACAACTAATAACTAATTCACATTGAGAGAAATGTTTAGTCAGAGCAATCAAAATTTGATAGGGCCAAAAAAAAATTTTTTTTTGATATTTAAGCAACCAAATTATTTTTTTGAGTTAACCAAAAAATTTGGTTCAGTGTTTTTTGTTGGCATAAAAAAACCTTTTGTTAAAACAAAATTTGTTTCATTTGTCAATAAAAATGTTTGATTGGTATTTTGCAATTAAAAATTCTCCAAATTATTGTTTTTTAAAGATTATAAAAAATTTACAGAAAATTTGTTTTTTAAAATTCCACAAAAAGTACATTTTTTATTTGTACAAAAACGAAAATTTATACTTGACAATGATTTTTTTGGTAATTTTGTACAAAATAAAAAATTTTCGAGTAAAGTTAATAAAATCCTTTTTTTTGGTGAAACGATTGATTTTCTCTTTATCCAGTTTAGACAATTGATTAATGTGTATTTTTTCCATAAACAATAAATCAGGCGCGTTAGTTGTAGAGTGACTAAAAGATTAAATTCACGAGAGCAACTCTAAATCTCATGGGAGAGGCTCATGTTGAATGGAATTCCGTTATCCCCCAGGATCCTTGGCCTTCGCTGCTGTTAGTGTGCGATCCGATGGTTTGCCAGCTGGTGCCCGATTCTTTCGCGTGGTCTTATTTGCACTTTTGCGGGCTCATCGTATATGTGTACACTGCATACATATATATATATATATATTGAGAGTCACTGTTGACAGAAGTTGGTACGTCAAAATGAGTCACTGTACAACTCTGATGGCTATAAATAGCTTTTTGCCCTCCCGCTACTTTGCCACTACACAGCTTCCAGTCAAGTGCACGAGCAGTCTTTCCTTTTTGATTTACGTCTTTCACGACTATCGTCCATTCGCAAAAGTTATACCCCTTTTTTTTGTGAAGCTTCCTTAATGAAAAATCAATTATTTTCTTTTTTTCTAAATACAGGCTTCGTAATGTTTCCCCTATTATCCAATTTTTTTTTCTCTGAAAAAATTCCGCCTTTTTTTTTTTTTTAATGAATATTTCTCCCTTTTTTCACTCATTTCTTCTATTTTATGTTGAAACTCAAATGTTTCACAAAAATACAAATTTGTACAAAAAAAAATAACAAGCTTTGGATTGTACAACTTTTATCGACTTTTTTTCAATGAATGTGACTATTTCGACTTATTTTTAGAAAATGGGACTTTTTCGACTTTTTTTTAACAAAATGTAAACTTTCGTTAAAATTTTCTGAAAATTTTATTAATATATAAAACACTTTCTGAATAAAAAATTTTCTAAAATTCGGTTATTGTTTGAATTTTATAAAAAAAAAAAATATTCAGCAATCAGGCCTCGAATTATACGACTTTTGTCTCCTTTTTTTTCGTAAATAGGACTTTTTTCGATTTATTTTAATAGACTTTTTTTTTTACATTTTTTACAAAATTTTTAAACAAAATACAAATTTTATTTCTTTTAATTATTTAACAAATTTTTAACAAAAATTCTTTTCTAAATTAATTTTTATAAAAATAATTTAAATAAAATTCTTTACGAATTGAATTATTTAAAAGTATTTTTTTCAATTATATTCGTTTATTTGTTTTCTGGCTCAAGCCAATACAAAGAAGTTGCCGCATTACCTTTATTATACAATTTTAGTTATGAAAAAATTCTTTTTGCATAATCTTATTAATATATGAATATAAGTTTATAAGTTTTCCTTTGTTTGAAGTGTCTAAAATTTCTAAAAAAGCGACTGTTATAGATTGCTTGTCTGTACTTGTAGTTATAAACTGATGTCTTTCTTCGGAGTGAATTTCACATTCAATTAATGTGTGATACAATAACTCCGAGGATTCCATTCCGCATCCATTGCACAATCCAACCACATTCAACTTCACATGCTTTTTCTTGATTGATATTCTTGGTGAGAAATTGCTTAATAATCGAGTTTGGCTAATAATTTTTATATACATAAGTGGTATTTTTTGTAAAAAATATTGTTTAACTCCGAGATTCAACGTCAAATGTGGGAGGAGATGCAATGCTCTTGATTCTCTTACTCTATTTAAGTCATTTGTCAATAAGTATTGCTCAAATTTCTTTATCCACATGGATTTATTTAACTGGAGTACACTCAGAGAAAGGTTATCCCATTCATTTGTCTCTTCAATACATTCGAAAAAATATTCTACCTGCTTACACCAATTAAATTTTTTAGACACATTTCTCTTTTTGGAAAGATTTTTTAAACGCAGGAAACACAGTTTAGGATATCTATTATCTTCCATGGATAATATTTTTTCAATTAAATTTAAAACTAATTTAAAAATGGAAGCTGATAATTTTGGTAATCCAATTTCATATCTAACTGCGTATCCTGGAGTATTTATTACCAATAATAGAATTCTTTTATAGAAAGAAGTCTGTATTTTTTCAATTTCCTCCAAATATCTAAGGCCCCAAATATTTATTGAATACATTACAACGCTTGAAACCAAAGATGCAAACAATTTATTTACAGGTTCCCAAGATTCCAAATTTAACCTATTTACTAATGAAATTGTTGATCCAATTGCCAAATTTCCTTTAGAAACGACAGAATCAGTAGCTTTCGCAAAAGTTGCTGAATTTGAAAATAAAACCCCCAAGTACTCATAACTCGATACTATCTCAATTGTTTGATCTTTACCAAATTTAAACGGGCTCAATTTGCAATTATGAACATGACCTCCTTTTCTAAAAATCACTATTTGAGTTTTTTTAAAATTTACTTCTAGATAATTTTTTTTACAATACTTTTCCAGAGCTTTCAAAATTTTTCTCATTTCTACCACCGAGTCGGCCGTAATTGCAATGTCATCCGCGTAGGCTAACAATAAAATTTCCATGCAGTGATTTAAAGCAACGCCTCTGATTCCTTCCTCCTTCAAGAAATCCTCTAAATCGGCTATAAAACACGCAAATAATAGTGGGCTCAATACTTCGCCCTGTAAAACTCCTTTAGTAACTTTTGATTTTTTAGATATGCCGAAGGAATTTTTGACTGAGACATTTGCCTTGCTATATAGATTTTTTAGTAAACTGATGATTCCGGTACCGACTCCTATTCTATACAGCTTCTCCCAAAGTAAACTATGATTCACTGAGGGAAAAGCACTTTTAAAATCGACAAAGAGCACAAAGAGTTTTCCCTTACTGTGATTTAAACGGGTTTGTATCATGGCATTCAAAACGAAAATATTGTCCGCACAACCTCTTTTTTTTCTGAAACCCGATTGCCATTCCGGTAACTTGTTTTCATCTTCTAACCATTTTCTCAATCTTTCAGACAGAATTTGCATAAAAATTTTCGCGATACAATTCATCAGGGCAATTGGACGGTAATTCGCCGGGTCCAATTTCCCCCCCTTTTTATACAACATTCGCATTAAAGTGTCCCCCCATGAGTCTGGAACTTCTTTTTTATTCAATACTTTATTAAACAAGTTTAAAAGATAAAGCTTTCCTTCTTCCGGTAAATTTTTTAAAAATTCATAAGAAAGACCATCTGGGCCCGGCGATTTACCGTCCCTGCATTTTCTCAAACTCCAAATGATTTCTGAAAGTGTTATTTCTGTCTCAAGATTAGGGTTACAGCTTGCAATTAAATTTTTTGAATTATTATTAATAGGTGGAAATGATAATTGAAAAAAATTGTACCATTCTTCCAAACTTATAAGGTCAACAATTTGCGCTCTGTATCGAAATCCATTAATTATTTTCCAAAAGGAGGAAGAATCCCTTGCTATTTTTAGTTGACCCAAGATTGCGTTTTTATAGTCCTCTTTTTTAACTCTTTGTAAGTTTTTATATTCTTTTCTTTTTTTGATATAATCTGCTACCAGTTCTGCCGAGTCAAAGTTATTCTTTTTACATTTAGTTAATAATACTTTTAAATTTTGTTTACATTGTACGCAATCGTTATCAAACCATGGCTTAGAAATTTTTTTCTTAAAATGAGTATTTATTTTTAACCCTATATTTTCCGCAGTTTCGCTAATTTTTTTTATTAGATTATTTGACATAATATTGATATCTGTTGAATCCTCGGAGTCTCGCAGTGACTCACTCATACACAATTTAAATTCATTCATAAATTCCTCTTTCCACTTATATAGTGATACTTCTATATTTTTTTCATTCTTATCTACTTCTGCTAATAATTCGAGTTTAAATTTTTTTCAATTAAAAATTCGATGAAATTCCATAATTGTCAACATTTAAAAAGTCATCAAATAAAAGTACTAAAAATTGCAATTCGAAATTAGGTAAAATTCAACTATTTTCAAAAATTAAAACCTTTCTAGAATTTAATTATTTCTATAATTTTCCATCTAAAAATTTCTAAAAAAAATAAATTTAACTAATAATTCTTCTGAAATACAATAACTTTTAATAATATTTATATAATATTCTTCGAAATTTCAATTCTGTAAAATTTAATTGTCTGTAATTTAACAAACCAATTAACTGTTGAAAAATTCAATTTTTTTTAATAATTTTAATATTTCTTTAAAAATTGAATTCTTTAAAAAAAGTTTCAAACAAAAATTTTAAATTTGAATTGTCAAAAATTAAATAATAAATCACAGCAGTTTCAATTTGCAGAAAATTTATTTCAAATTTAAAATCTTCTGCAAAATCAATTATTTAAAACAAAAAAAAAATAATAATTTTTTAAAGTCATAATTAAGCAATTTATTCGAATTAAAAGTTTTGTAACAGTTTTTAGTTTTAATAAACAAACAAATTTCGGACAATAATAAAGTTTTACAGATTTTTAAATTTTTTATTTTTTAATAATTAAATTTCAAATATATTTTCTGCAAATTTAAATTGCTTTAGTCTTTATTTTCTATTTTCTGACAACAATTCAATGTTAGAGTTTTTATTTGAAATTTTGATAAATAATTGAATTTTGAAAGAAATAATTGAATTTTATTTTGTTTAATTTTAGGCAATTATTAAATTTTACAGAATTGAATTTAGATGAAATTAGATGAAAAATTTTAGGTTTTCAATTGAAATTTTTGAAAATTCAATTTCAGTTGATTTTTAATTGAAATTTCTGGTAATTTTATTTGTTGTTTTTTTTTTAATTTTAAATAATTATTGAATTGGTATTTTTATTGAAAATTTGGAAAACATTCTAATTTAGCCCGATTTTCATTGAATTTTTTTTTTTTCAGTTTTTGACCAATTATAATTATAATTTTGAAAAATAATTGAATATTTGAAAAATAACTGAATTTCTAATCGATAATAAAAATTTTTTTTTAGAAATAATTCAATTTATGGCAGATTTGAACTTTGAAAATTTAATTTTTCTCCGTTTTTTACTAATTCGCATTAAAATTTTTCAAAAATTAAATTTTTAGCTAAATTGAACTAAATTTTTTTATAATTTAATTTTTGATAGATTTAAATTGAAATTATATAGAAAATAATTAAATTTTTCCTAACTTTCATTGAAATTTTTTTTTTTAAAAAATAAGTTTTCAACAAATTACTTATTCAAATTTTGCAAATAATTGATATTTGGAAGATTTACAATTCAAATTTTTTTTTTTTTGAAAGTAATTGAACTTTAAGTGATTTTTGTTTCAAATTTACGATTATTTCTGTTACTGAAAAATTTATTAGTAATTACAGGCAAAAATTCAATTACAAATTTTTTTTTTAAAATTGTAAAATGCTAATTGAAGATAATTGAATTTTCAAAGAATATTATAAAAATCATTAAAAAAAAATAATTGAATTTCGGAAGAATTATAATTGAAATTATAATTCTTCCATCTTAAACTTTTTATAATTTAATAATTATTAAATTATGAAAAGTTTAAGATGGAAAATTTTAAAAGATTTTAAATTGAAATTTTTTGTAATTTGATTTGAATTTTTTTTTTTTTAATTATAAACAATTGTCGAATTTCATCAAAATTTTTAATTTGAAAAATATTTTAATATTATTGAATTTGTGAGAAATTACATTAAAATTAATGAAAATAATTAATTTAGAAAAGAATTTCAGTTAAAAACAGGAAATTTTACAAACAATTACAACTTTAAAGCATTTTAAGGAAAATATATATTTAGATTTTATTCTATTTTCCCCCTTTTAAATAAAATTCCCCCTTTTCTTTTTTTTTTTAGCAAATTTTACGCCTTCTTAATGGAAAATCAATTTTTTGTTTCTAAATACTTTTTGTATTTTTGTATTTTTTTTTTTCATTTTTTTTTTCAACAAAAAATTATTGGTTCTTGAATGCGAGTCTGTTGAACGGTCAATGATCGAAATGAAATTCTGCCGAGTGTAAGAGAGAGAGAGAAAGGTCGTTTCCCCCGATGTTAAAAACACTATCAAGGTCCATACAGTAGGCCAGCGGCGGCGGCGACGACGACGACGACGATGCGCGGTTTTAAACGATCAGTTTAGGAGTCGTAATAAAGCCACTGGTGGAAGTTGGTGGAGAACATCCCAAGCGTTTCTTCTCTTTCAGTTCAACGAGAGAGAGAGATAACGTTTACGATCCTCCCACGACCGTTTATTTATTTTTCCTAACCGCTCGGACGTTCCTTTTTTTTTCTCTTCTTTTTCTTCGTTCCTTTTTTTTTTTTTTTTTTTGTTCAAACTTTACGCTCATTCCCTGCGCGAAACTTCCCTCGTAAACGTGATACCGTATAACGAGGGAGAGCAGAACCCCTCGTGTTGAATTCCCTCACACAGTTTCGCCATAAACCGTGTTCTATATATATATATATATATATATTTCCCTAGATCCTAAAATTTCACTGTCATTATTTTTGGTAGTTAAAAAATTGTTAATTTTTTTTTTAAATGATTTAAATTCTCTTTTTCAAGGATAGAACCATAATTACAAATTTTTAACTGTAAAATCTACTAATTTATATGATTTCGTCTACGAATCCGTTTTGGAAAAATTTCAAACATATATAAAAAATTTAGCAGAAAGGAGTGATAAATTATTAAATAAATTCAAAAAAGAGAATTAAAATTACAGGCTTCGAAGCGTAGTAAGAGACTAAGAAAAGTATCATTTTTTTTTTTTTTGTTAATAAAAAGTATCCTCAAATTTGAAAAAAGTAGAAAAAAAGTTGGCATCTTTAAAATAAAGTAAAATTAATTTTCTATTGACATTAAAGTGTAAATATTTTCTTATACAACAAAAAAATTGAAAGAAAAAAATTCTGAGGAATAAAATTAACTTTTTTCTCCTAATTATTTAAAAAAAAAAAAAAAACTATATTGTTAAATTTTGATGAACTTTTTTTGCTTTTTGGCACTAGGAGCGTATGATTATTCAATAAAAATGATTTTTCACATAAATTTTTATTTTACAAAATAGAATTTAATAGAGAATTTCTTTTTGAAACGAATATGTTTACTCAAGGGAATTTTCAAATTAACGAATTTTTTGTTTAACAGAATTTTTATTTTTACAAAATTTCTCTTTACCCAACTGTTTTTTTGAAAAGAATTATAATTTAATCTATTTTTAATTTATTAGAATTCTCATTAAGTAGAATTTTAATTAATTCGAATTTGGAATCGGAAGCTTATATAAAGTATTTAGTATTTTAAAACAATAATTTTAATTAAAAATCTCTAAAAATTCAATTATTTCTAAAAAAAATTTAACTCGAACTCTTTCAAAATTCAATTATTTCTTAAATTTGTATCTAAAAAATTCTTTGCTAAATTAATTAATTTCAATCCAATTTTTCAAAAATTCAATTAAATAAAACATTTTTTAATTAAAAATTCTGTAAAATTCAATTACTGTTTAAAACTTTGTTAATAATTTTCATCAATTATAATTTACTAAAATTTTTAATCAAATTCTCTTAAAATTTAATTGTTATTTAAAATTTTGATTCAAATTTTTTATTTGAATTAATTATTTCTAATAACATTAATCAAGATTAATTTTGGCATTTCAATTATTTAAAATATTTTTCAATTCAAAATACTCTAAAATTGAATTATTGTCTAAATTTCGGTTAAATTAGAATTATTAAAAAAAAAACAGTTGGGTAAAAAGAAATTTTGTAAAATAAAAATTCTGTTAAAAAAATTTGCCAAATTAAAAATTTTTTTAAGTAAAAGGTCGTTTATAAAAAAAATTATGTTAAATGCTATTTTGAAAATTCGTATAAAAAATAATTATATAAGGCAGTATTTCACGAGGCAAATAATAAATCCAGGGTGTCTAACAACTGATAGGAAAAAAAATTCCCTGCCTTTTCCCTGACTTAAATTACACTAAAAAAATTTTTATTTTGGTGAAATAAAATTTATTTTGATACAATTAAATCATTTACCTGTCTATTATCCACTAATTTCATATGTATTTGAATCAAATAAATAATGTTTTGTAAAAAATAAAATATTTCAGTGAAATAAATAAACTAATTTGGCGACGTATAAATATTCTCAACATTTAATTTAAAAGAATTTTTACGGCGACAAATCTTAAATTATCAAATTTTTATTTAGTAAAATTATATAAAGCAGATTTTCAAATTGAATTTCAAATTAATAAAATTTCAATTTAACGGAATTTATTTCTTAAAAAAAATTGCATAAAGAACAATTTTTTTAACAGAATTGTTATTTTTTGTAAATTTCGATTTATCAAAATATTTACTTAGCAGAATTGTCATTGAATAAATCCACAATTAACAGAATTTCTATTTAACAAAGTTTTTATTAAAGAAAATTTTAATTCCAAACTAATTCTCTTATTTAACAGAATTCTCATTTAAGAAAAATTCTACTTAGTGTCTTTTTTTTGTCAATTTTTCTCGACATAAATTTCGTTAAATTGAAATTATATATATTAATTTAAAATTTTAAAAAAGAAATTAGAAAATATGCTTTATAAGAAGTTCTGTTAAATAGAAATTCTTTTTAGTTAAATGTAAATTGAAAATTTTGCATAATATAAAATCCACTTTATACAATTTTGCTAAATAGAAATTCAATAATTTAAGATTCGACGCCGTAAAAATTTTTATAAGCTAAATGTATTAGCATTAAATAATAAATTATTAATAAATAATTTACTTTATTTCAAGTTGAACCGATAAAATAAAATTGTATCAAATAATTTTTTATTTACATTTTAAAAAACCAAATATTTCACTGAAAAAAATGAATTGTTATCCAATTTAAAAAAATTATTTATTAGATTCAATAAATAGTGGTAAATATGTATTTACTTAATGAATATAAGATATAATCACATTTTTAATAATTGAGTGTGAAGCCAACTTTTTAATTTGCATTTGTTTTGGGGAAAAAAAGTAAAAAAAAAAAATTTTGAAACTAATAGTTTAATTTATTTATAAAAAATTCCCTGACTTTTCCCTAATTGTCAGACACCCTGAAATCATCAACTTGGCGAGCTTTTAGGAATCAAAAAAAATTTTTTAATTCTCGAATTCTGTCATTTTTAAAATTATTTATTTTTTTTTTTTTTTAAAGTAGCATTTTGGCCAAAATTAGTAGTTAAAAATGTAGCCTTGTCGAAAAAAAAGTAAAAAAAAATGTGTCACTTCGATGCCTGCAATTAATTCGAAATTCCTTAGGGAAAAATGAAGTTATACCATTTGGTCGTGGGGTAAATGCATTGGATATGCCGGTTGGGTCAGGTGGGGTGGGCCATATCCGCTGTAGGGTGGTTGAACTCCGCCGCCTCCTCCCGTCCAAGGATCACCGGGACCAGTTCCTGCAGCATTCCCATCTGCAAAAAAAAAAAATAAGAAACAATTGTCATATCATTTAATCTCTTTTTCATTCTTTTATATCGATGACAATCTTGATTTAAATTATATATTTTTTGATTCAGTAAATATTATCTCGTTTGTGTTCCCTTTGTGACGCGTAATTCTCACTCCACTCTCAACTGTCGGGAGCATCGTATCGCGAGGGAAAAAAGAAACGAACGGTGAAAAGCACGTGCCGTTCACTGACCGTGGAACGCGCTGCACGTGCTCAATGCTTCACACAACTATAAACAGAATCAAAAAGGCACATCTCCCACTCTCTTTCTTTCCTTGTCATTCACTCAATGACCAATTAACGCTCTCCTCCATCAAAACACAAACTTGATAATTTATAACACACACACACATATATATATATATTTTCAATTTTTAAAAAATTTATTTTTGTTTATTCAACCATAACATCTTGGAATTTTTCTCCCTTAGTATTAACGAAGTACGCAACGTTTATGATAAACAATTTTTAAAGAAATAATTTTTTAAAATGAAAAATTCTATAATTTTTTGCCTAAAAAATATTTTTTTTTCATAATTTGTTGATTAATGAAAACTAAAAGAAATATTTTTTAGGCAAAAAATTATAGAATTTTTCATTTTAAAAAATTATTATTTCTTTAAAAATTGTTTATCATAATCGTTGCGTATACTTCAGCTTCGTTTAGTATTAAATCGATTTGAGAAACATTTCAAGAGGTTGAATCTGCGAAATTAAATTATTTTTAGAATTTTGAAATGAAAATCTCCTGAAACTCAATTATTATTTCTCAAAAATTTTAACTCCAACTCTTTCAAATTTAATTATTCTAAATTTTAAATTAAAAATCTGAAATTCAATTATTTCTAAATATTTTTAATCGAACCGTTTTTTTATAGATTTTTTTTGGGGACATTCCATAATAATTAGGGGAGAGCGGGGCAAAGCCGCTATGCGGGGCAAAGGCGTTTTTCGAAATATCTTCATTCTTTTTAATCTATTACCATTTTCGTTAACAGTTTATTATTAATACGATTAAAGCAATAGATTGGAAAAGAAACAGCTAAAAAATATTAAATATATTAGGAAATATAACATAAAAATAGTTTTTGCAAGGAAGAGATGAAAATTTCGTTGATCGAAGATTCAAATTTAAAAAATTGTTTTAAGCACTTAGATCTTAAAAACTTTTTGCTTGAATAAATGAAACATTTATCTACACGATCTGCATGAAATTTAAGTTTTATTTTTTATTTAAATAAATTAAATTTTAAAAATAAAAAATGTATGTCATTGGGGGCAAAGCCGTTTAAAAACTGTTTCGTAAAAACAGTTGAAAATGAAAATCTGCATTACCTTCATATTTGAAGTTTTTCTAACTTCACATGAATCAAATGTCAACAAATATTAACCTGGTTTTTTAACCAAAACATAAAGTAAAATTAATAAATTAATATTAAATAAAATAATATTAAATAATTGTTTTTATTTATTTTCAAAAATTACATATTTCAATTTAATTATTTTTTATTATTAGTGTTATTAACTTACATTACTTATATTATTATGTTACATTATTTCACAAAATTAAATAAAATAAAGGAAATTAGTTATTTTTATGTAAAAAATCTGTGTTTATTATATAATATATTAAAATAGTATAATTTTAAAATAATATTTCATTTAGAACATAAATTAATTTATTAGTATTCAAATTTATTATTAACATTAAAAAAATGATAAATTTTATGTAAATATAATATTAATATTTCATAATATTTTCGCGCCGTTATTTAAATTATTTTTGAATTTGAACAGTCGGTAAAGTAGACTTTTCAACGAAAAAGTGAAGAGTTGAATTCAAAATGTGAGGTTAAAAATACAAGTATTGATATTTTTTATAAAATAACTTAAAACTCTTTAAAAAATGTATAAAATACTTATGTTTCAAAGATATTAGGTCATTTACTGCAACTTCGTACAGTTTTAACGGCTATAATTTTCTACCTTTAAAAAATATAAGCAAAAACGTCGCTGCCCCGCCATACGGGGCAAAGCCGTTTTTTTGCATTTCTTTGAAAATAATTAAATTAATTAATCAAGCTTATAATAAATTAAATAATTACTATTGAAATTTGTTATTAATTAGTTTTAGATGAAATAGAAAAAAAAATCACGTCAATTGAAGGTGTAATAACAAAAATATTTATAAATAAATGTTACATCAGCGGCTTTGCCCCGCTCTCCCCTATACACTTTTTTTCCTAAATTTGTATATTTTTTCGTCTTTAAAGACTGAAATCATTAGTCAGAATTTTCATTTTTTTGTATTTTATTTGTAATAATTATTTTTGAGACGAATTTTTGTTCGAATTAGTATATCTTGCAGAATTTTCATCCAAACGATTTTTCTATATTTACAGAATTTTTATATAATCGAAAATTCACTTCATAAAATTTTCATTTAATCGAATTTTTATTTGTTAGAATTTTTATTTGCTCGCATTTTCATTTAACATAATTGGCATTTTTAAGAATTTTTATTGGGTAGAATTTAATTGTACAAAATTTTCATTTTATTCATTCAGATAAATTTTCATTTGCTCGAATTATATTATATTTGATAAAATTTCCATATTTAACCGATTTTTCATACTACAGAATTTTTATTTAACCGAAAAATCACAGAATTTTCATTTGTCCGAAATTAAAAATGGCCGAAAAAAACAATCGATTTTGGCGCAATTTTTAAAATCAACCAATCAAAAATTATCCATAAAATTGTGATTGGTTGATTTTAAAAATTGCGTCTAAATAATTCTGTCGATTGTTTGTTCGGACATTTGAAATTTCGGACAAATGAAAATTCTATCAATTACAAATTCTGTGATTTTTCGGTTAAATAAAAATTCTGTAGTATGAAAAATCGATTAATATGGAAATTCAATCAAATAATAATTCGAACAAATAAAAATTCGGCTCAAAAATAATTATAACAATTGAAATTCCATAAAATGAAAGTTTTAACTAATGATTTTTAGAACATAATTATGCGTCCCAAATTTTTCTTTAAATTAATTTTGTTCGATAATTTTATGAAATTCAACAATTGTTTACAATTGAAAAAAACTCGAATAAAATTATCAAAAAATTTTAATTTAAAACCTTCTATAATTTATTTATTTCTATAAATTTTGAACTGTAATTCTCATCAAAAAATTTAATTTAATTTAATTAATTTCAAAAAAAAATTTTAACTCGAACTCTTCGAAATTCAATTAGTAATTGAATAATTAATTAAATGTTTAATTCAATTGAAAGTTTGTTGAATACTATTTATTTTAACAGTTTTAATCCAATTTTTCAAAATTTTAATTATTTAAATAATTTTTTTTTTAAATTAATATTTATATTTACAATAAAATTATAATTATTGAAATCTCAAAAAAATGCAATTATTTCAAAAAATCTGAACTGTAACTCTATCAAAATTCAATTACTTTTCACGTATATTTCAGTTGAAAATTCTCTAAAATTTAATTATTTTCTGAAATTTGTTTTAAAAAAAATTCATTATTTCAAATTTTTAAAAGTTTCAAATGAAAATCTTCTAAAATTCAAATTATTTACATTTAAAAAAAATTTAACCGAAAAATCAGAGAATTTCTAATAGATATGAATTTTCATTTGTCCGAAATTGCAAATGGCCGAAAAAAACAATCGATTTTGGCGCGATTTTTAAAATCAACAAATCAAAAATTATCCATATAAAATTGTGATTGGTTGATTTTAAAAATAGCGCCTAAATAATTCTGTCGATTGTTTGTTCGGACATTTGCAATTTCGGACAAATTAAAATTCTATCAATTAGAAATTCTGTGATTTTTCGGTTAAATAAAAATTCGACTAAAAAATAATTAGGACATATGAAATTCCATAAAATGAAAATTCTAACTATTGATTTTTAGAACAAAATTATGCGTCCCTTTTAATTGACACGAACATAACCTACATTTAATTCAAATCACTTCATTGGCCCAAGACAAAATAATTCTATAAAATTATATAATAATAAAATAATTGTAATAAATTAAATTATTATGAAAATAATATTACCTTGAATAAAAAAGTGTTTTTAGTTTTTTAAAAAAAATTATTCAACAATTATTATTATTTTCAGACAAATTTTTTTTTTGCATTTTGTTAACAATATTTCAATTTTACATATAAATAATTATATTGCTGTAGTGTTTGTGTCCGATTTTAAAAAATTAAATTATAATTTTTAAAAAACGATTTTAAGAGTGACAAAATTTATTTAAGAGAGTCGAATGATCTCTGAAATTTTTTGGCAAGAAGAGACCTTTAATTATCGCTCTATAAAAACGGTGCTAAACGTGAAAATGATAAACATTGATTTTAAAATACTTTCTTCTCGAAAGACGGACACTTTTTACAAAAGCAGCTAGAGATCCTTATCTTATATAAATTTCCTAAATCCGAAAGATTATGCGAATCCATACAAAAACACGATTGCAAAACGAAAAGTAATATAATGAGGGGTTCATTACCTCCTGCCGCCGTCAGATGGCAGCAGCATGCAGGGCGCACAAAGTCGCAGCTGTTATTAGATTACTTTTCTACTTTTTGTTTTGCAACCATGTTTTTCTATGGATTCGTACAGTCTTTTGGATTTAGGAAATTTATAAGATGAGGATTTTTGGCTGATTTTGTTAAAAGTGTTCGTGTTTCGAGAAAAAAGTATTTTAAAATCAATACTATTTCACGTTCAGAGTGATAATTAAAGCTCTCTTCTTGCCAAAGAATTTCAGATACCGTTCGGAAGCTCTTAAATATAAAAACGAAACAAGAAAATAACTTCATTGTTAATAAATTTATATGAACCCAAATCTAAAACATCTATTATCTATATATAAGTATACATTAAATAAATTCTGGTTCCTCATAAAATACTATTTTTAAATATTTAAAATTCAATTTGTTTTAAATTGACCACGTAAGCTGATTTTAAAACCTATTGAGAAAAGTTTTTTATTCATTTTAGAACCATAATCAAAAACAGAATTTTTAAGTGCCAATTCATTTTTATTTAAACCTCCTTCTGTCGCATCGTGATATTATTAAATATTTAATAAAATAATTGTAATAAATTATGAAATATAAATTGAAAATTAAATTGAATGGACAAAGAATAGAAAGCAACAGAGACGGCCAAAGGCGCTAGTAATTCAAAAATATATTCACTGGGATTTCCTCTCGAATTAGGATACAATTTTTTTTTTTAAACGAAAAATGAGTATATTTCCTATACTGAAAGTATGCAATAAAAAATTATTAAATTAATTCATTTATATATTTTCTGGAAAAGGAATTGAAAAAAAAAATTATTTTTTCCGTTTTTTTCATGGTTCATCTCTCGTTGGGCGTTAGATATATAGATGTGATCGAATCGAAGGGTCAAGGGAATGGAATAGAATAGAGGGATGAAAGAGTTTAGGAAATTGGAGAAAGTTTCGTCATCCGTAAAAGTGCTCTGACAAAGGGATTCGTCGTCGTCGTCGTCGTCGATAGATTAAATGCGCAGGACTAAAGGAATAACGTTCTGGTTTCGATCAATATTCGCGATTCCCGATAATAATCGATTCTTTTTTTTTTCTCCCCCTTCTCCTTTATACAATAAAAAGAAACATTCTCTCCCTCCCTCTTCAGCCTTTGAAAAAAAAGGTCGGAAAAAAGTCTTCTTTTAACCGAGCCAGAAGGAAAATATTTCATCCTCTATTTCCTATTCTCGTTTCTTGATGGTTTTTTTTTTTTTTTTTCAAGACTTTTTTCAGAAGAATGACTCAATATTTTTTTCCTGACCGATATTTTTCATATTGTAAAAAAAAAATAAATTTTAAATATTTTAAAAATAAAAAAGTTATGTGAAAGTGTCACTTTGACTTAGTTTCCGGGTTTTTTAAAGCTGGAAAAAATTATATTGAACAAAGTATCAAGAAATACATGAACAGCTTATTGCCGTTCTTTTTCAACTGGAATTACGACTTTTGTTTCTTTTTTTTTCAAAAGCGCCCATTGGCGAATCAGTTGTTTTTTTTTGTTATCGATAAAAGCGAATGGATAGAGAAAGAGAAAGAAAGGAAAAAAAAGTCGTAAATCAGGGTCCATTTTTTTTAACGCCCGAAAGTTATTGTCCTCGAGAGTATTTTTTTTTAAACGCTAATAGCTGACTGTTTTCCTTTTTCTTTTTTTTTTATTGTTTAATAGACCCATAGTTTCGGTACAAGTGAACTTTGCTGTGCAGTGTGTCTTATGACTCGTGAAAAAAAAATATATATATATATATATACATCACAATGGAGAAAATAAGTAATTTCTCGTATTTTTTTTTTTTTCATGTCAGTTGTTTTTATTTAACTTTTTCTTGAGCCAATCATAAACTTGTAAAAAAAAAAAAGTTTTGGTACAGCCTTTAATAACTCGTATTCGTTTTACGGGAGGTTTACACAGAAAAAAAAACATTGCTTTTTAAGGATTAATGAAATTTTTTTCTTTCTTTTTTACGAGGGATATTGAGAAATAAAATTCTTGAAATACAAAATAGATAATAAAATCGCTATCGCACACTAACTGCAAAAATAAAAAAACAATTTATGTCGATTATTTTTTGAAAGGGACAAATTTAAATTATTTAAATTTTTATAATTAAAATTTTAAAAATAATTGAATTTCGAAAAGTTTGAATTTAAATTTTTGTAAATAACACAGGTTTACAAATTCGGATCAACTTTTGGATCCAAAAAGGCAAGAGCATTTTTTAACGTATTTTTTTAATGCTGAATTTGAATCGATTATTAGATTTTTCGTATAACGTCAAAATTCAAAATGGCGGATCCAAAATGGCGGGGGAAAAAAAATGAAAAATCAATTGGATTTGCTTGAAACTTGTTACTCGGAGGTTTTAAGGGTCGCCATTTGATTGGTTGATTTTAAAAATTGCGCCAAAATCAATTGTTTGTTCGGTCATTTGCAATTTCGGACAAATGAAAATTCTGTGATTTTTCGATTAAATAAAAATTCTCTAGTATAAAAAATCGGTTAACATTGAAATTCAATCAAATAATAATTCGAACAAATGAAAATTCATCTGAAAGAATAAAATGAAAATTCCATGCAATGAAATTCTACCAAATAAAAATTCTTTAAAATGCCAATTTTGTTAAATGAAAATTCGAGGAAATAAAAATTCTACCAAATAAAAATTCGAACAATAAAAAAATCTGTGAAGTGAATTTTCAATTATATAAAAATTCTGTAAATATAGAAAAATCGTTTTAATGAAAATTCTGCAAAATATATACTAATTCGAATAAATAAAAAATTTCGTTCAAAAATAATTATGACAAATAAAATTCCATAAAATGAAAATTCTAACGATTTTTAAAACATAATTATATATGCGTCCCGCTGTTTTTTTGTAAATAATTAACTTTTTAAATATTTTGAAAGAAATTACTTTTATAATTACCAATATAGTAGGAATCCGCGTAGAGTGCGGCAGCCTTTGGTGAAGTGTATCTTGGAGAATCCTGTCCAAATTCATCAGAGCCATACTGTAACAAAAAATAGTAAAAAAAAAAAATTAATATTGTTGAACATAAAAACATTCTAAAATTATTTTCTTTTTTAATTTAGATAAAAATTTATATATTTGTAATGAGAATGATGAAAAAACAAAAAAATTAGAAACACATTTATTTATATTGATAAATCCACATAATAGAATTGTTTTCATTTGAAAAATATTGTCAAAGCCAAAGTCTATTTGAGTATAACGTTTACTGTGGTTTCAAGAGGATGTTTGACTTGTTCAAGGGTGTGTAATGTTTCAATGAGACGAGAGAGAGAATTCCACCCCGCGGGGTTGTGTTTTCCTTCACACGTGTTTGTGGCACGTGTCGGATTGATTGTCGACAATTTTGTGGAATAGATTTTTCTCTCTTACTCTCTTCTCTCTCTCTCTATCTCTTTCTCATCGTATTTCCCCGCGCATTACACACCCGGTAATTAGAGTCACTCTCAAATTACCAGAAAATAATGGAAATTAATTCTCAACCTCTATTTATAGATTTATATACCAATTATATGTACATATATAGATATCTCTCAAAATTTACCCCAAAAAAAAGTGTGACTTATTTTTTTTTTCCTTTTTGCAATATTTATATTGTTCTCAATTAAAATGAATTCAATATCCGCTTTGTAAATGTGCATAAATATATTTAAATTGCTTTTTGTATTTAAAAACAAATTTCTTTTGAATTGCCTTTTAAATAATATGGAAATTAAATAACCACATTGCTGATAATGAAAAAAAAAAGATATTCAGACAACGAAACAAAAAATCGATTTTTAAATTTTTAATAAATTTAATCAATTATATTATATATAATAATAAAATGCTTGGTCTGTCCTTCTGTCCTAACTTAAAGTTGGCCTTTTCTGATTTCACGTGATTTTTTAAATAGTAATCTTATGACTTGTCAAATTTTGACAATTCTTTTTCTCATTTTTACCAAAGTTGTATAATTGTGTTTCCAAATTTCGGAATAAGTTTCTTTAAAATTCCAAATTTGAAAATTCAATTTACGAAGCTGAAGTACACAACGTTTACCAACGAAATTTTTTTTAAAGTTGTATATTCATTCAAAAATTGTATACAAATACAAAAAATTTATGATGAGAAAAAAGATGCGCCAGGAAATTTCGTACAAGATAGTAATTTGAAAAAAATTTATTTTTAAAAATTAATTTTTAAGGTACCAGGGGCCAACGAATACCTATTAAATATTAATTATAAAAACACAGGCCTCGAATAAACTTAAAGACACAAAAAAGTCGTTTTAGTCGATTTATATTCCAAAAAAAAGTGGATTTGTTTTTTATTTTAACAAAAATATTTTACAGATTTTTAAATAAAACAATTTTTTTTAAATAATAATCCTTTTCGAAGGGTTAAAGTGGAAATTTTTAGAAATAATTAAATTTCAAAAGATATTGTTAATTTTCAAACAATTATTAAATTTTACAGAACTAAAAATAATTTATCAAACAATTTTTGGAAAACATTTTTTAAATTTAATCGAATTTTCAAAGATTTAAAATTGAGATTTTTAAAATTAATTGAAACTTTAAATGTTTTGTAATTAAAATTTTAGATGATTTCACTAAAAATTTATTAGAAAATGCGGACAAAATACAATAATTTGAAAATCATTTTTAATTGAAAAATGGTTTCAGATAGTTGAATTTTCAAAGAATATTATTAAAATAGTTAAAAATAATTGAATTTCCTTAGAGTTATAATTGAAATTATTAAATTTCAAAAAAAAAATTTTCGATGGAAAATTTTAGAAATAATTAAATTTTAGATGCTTTTAAATTGAAATTATTGAAAATTGAATTAATTTTGAATTCAAATTTTTGAGAATAATGAAATTTTATTTGATTTTACATTTGGAAAATAATTGAATTTCAGTTCATTTTGAATTGAAAATTTTGTGAAATAATTGAATTTGAATTGAAATTTTGGATAATTAATTTTGAATTCAAATTTTTGAGAATAATAAAATTTTATTTACTTTAAATTGAAAATTTTTGGGAAATAATTGAATTTTAATTGAAATTTTGGATAATTAATTTTGAATTCAAATTTTTGAGAATAATTGAATTTTATTTCATTTTAAATTGAAAACTTGGTAAATAATTAAATTTTAAATTGAAAATTTTGGATAATTATTGGATTTTTAATTAATTTTGAATTAAAATTTCGGGTAATAATTGAATTTCAGTTCATTTTGAATTGAAAATTTTGGGAAATAATTGAATTTTAATTGAAATTTTGGATAATAATTTAATTTAAGTTCATTTTTGATTGAAAATTTGGAAAATTAATTTTGAATAGAAATTTTAGAAAAAAATAATTGAATTTCAGTTCATTTTGAATTGAAAATTTTGGGAAATAATTGAATTTTAATTGAAATTTTGGATAATAATTTAATTTAAGTTCATTTGTGATTGAAAATTTGGATAATTAATTTTGAATAGAAATTTTAGAAAATAATTGAATTTTATTTCATTTTAAATTGAAAACTTGGTAAATAATTAAATTTTAAATTGAAAATTTTGAATAATTATTGAATTTTTAATTGATTTTGAATTAAAATTTCGGGTAATAATTGAATTTTAGTTTATTTTGAATTCAAAATTTTTTAAAAATAATAAAATTTTATTGTGATTTATTTTTTTTAAATTATAAACAATTGTTAAATTTCATAAAAATTTTAATTGAAAAAATAATTTTGATATAATTGAATTTGTGATGTATTTCATTAAAATTATTAAAAATAATTAATTTAGTGAAGAATCAATTTATTTCAAAATTTGTTAAATAATTGAATTGAAGAAGATCTGAAGAAGATCTACATTTTATACTAAAAAAAATGTATTTTATTTACATTTTCTTTTCAAATTTTGCTAGTTAATAAATATTTGATTATTACTGAATGTGATAATTTTTTATTTGATTTTTAAAATTTAATATTTTTTACGGAATGACCAAAAAAAAACAGTTTAGAACTTCAAAACGAAATAACAGATTGTTCTCAAACTTGGTATTTACGTTATTTTGCAATGACATATTTTTATCAAAATTCAAATTCAGTAAAGAAAAGAATATAATTTTTGCGGATTGACCCCAAAAAAAAAAAAAATCCAAAAAACCTTTATAACTTTTAAACTAATTAACGAATCATTTTGTAACTTGGTAATTGTATTTTTTGCGTAAAATGACATTCCTTTATAATATAATAGAAAATTACAAATTTAAAACAAAAAAAAGTTATTACAATTTTTTTTGGACAAATTTTAAATATTTTTTAAAAAAATTTCAATCGCTTTTTTGAAAATTATTAACAGTTATTTTTCTCTTTATATTAGAAAAAACAGTAATTATAAATTGTAATTAATAATTCTTTAACGTCCGAGAGAATATATTTAAAAGGGTAAGTAAAAACGATAACATTCGGACAAATGGATTTTTAATTAAGTTTTCTCCAACGTTTCGAAATCACACCGATTTCCTCTTCAGGGAGGCAAATAAAAACGATGAAAACAATTATCAGTCAGTCATTCTCACAATCGTCAAAAATCGAATAAACAAAAACAAAAATACCCATTCTTTTTTATATAAATTGTAAGTTATAAGTTTGATTTTAGAAATTATTTTTGCAATTATATTTTTTTTTTGTTAAAATAAATATATATATAAATGAACAATACAAATTTGTTATTAAATTGAAAAAAAAAATCAAGGACAAAATGGAGACTACAGTTTTTTTTTTTTTTTTTTTTGAATAGTAAATCATGAAATCATCACTGTATGTAAATATATATACAGTTTGGTATATCAAAATGTTTTGCTTTTAATAGCTTCTCGAAAACGACATCAAAGATGATGATGGCAGTATTGAGTCGTTAAAGTTTAGCGGGATAATTGTTCCATTTTAATTTAATGACCCTGTTATGCATCAAAACGCGTTTCAATATTGTCCTGAGTAATCTGAAATGAAAAACTAATGCAAATCATTTTGCTAACAAGGACGCAAAAATTTATATTTCTTAATTAAAAATTTTTAAAAAAATTTTTAATCACTTTAAATATATAATTTTTTTTTATAACAATTATAACTCTACTCTTTCTAAATTATAATTATTATTTTATAGTATTTCTAATAATACTCTTCTTTTTTTAAATTATTATTATTATTATTATTATTATGCAGATAATTTTTTATTTTATCAAACCGAAAACCGTCTTTTAAAATATACAAAATTTGATTTTATTCATATTTTTCAAGGAAACTGAAATTTAAAATTTATTTAAATTAAATTTTAAAATTAATTTTCTCTTAATAAAAAGAATTCCAATTTTCTTAATTCAGACCTCGGATTGAATTTACAAAGAGAAAAAAGTCAATTTTCATTGCAACAAAAATCGAAAAAGTCGATATTTTTTATTTTTAATAAATTTTATTAATTAATAAATATTTCACTTCATTGCTAAAAATTATTGACAAAATTTTTAACAGTTATTGAATTTTAAAGAATTTTTAATAAAAAAAAAAAATTGAATTTTTGAAAAATTGAATTATAATAATTGAAATAATAATTAATTTAGCGAAGAATTTGGAAAAAAAAAAAAAAATTTTGGAAGTAATCGAATTTGGAAGAAATATATTTTTTTTTTAGAAACACTTAAAATTTCAGGAGATATACAAAAAGAATTTTGGTAAATTTGAATTTGAGGAAGATTTTTTTTACAAAGTTCAGAAGATATAAATGAATTTAAAACCATTTTTAGATGTAAATATGTTAATTAATGGAATTTTTGAAAACTGATTAAAGTTAACAGAAATAATTAATTCAACAAAGAATTGTTGCGCATTTTTTTTTCGCTAATTCCCATTATTTTCCATTTTAATGATTAATTTTTTAAAAGGCTTGCAAATATAAAAATTATCAAAATTTTGAGGTTATGTTCGTTTCTTGGTTAGAAGAATTTGAAGTTATGTTCGTCGGACATAGCCTCAAACACAACGGTTAATTTATGTCCTTAAATTTTGAGGTTATGTTTGAACCACGAGCCTTGAATCGTGGAAACATATGCCCTAGAATTTTGAGGTTATGTTTGATCTCTGACCTTGAACCCTAGAAACTATGCCCTTGAATTTTAAGGTTATGTTTGATCCAAATCCTAGGATCTTGAATTTTGAGGTTATGTTCGTTTTAATACTAATAAATGCATCGTTCCATATCAAGTGTAACCAACCCATGTTTTTTAACATAAAAAATTTGTGTCACATTTTATAAAAAATAAGTCGAAATAATCGAATTCATTGAAAAAAAGTCGTGCAATCCGAGGCTTGTAATTTTTTTTTGGTTCAAATTTGGATTTTTATTAAATATATCCCATTATTTGAGTTTCAACATAAAATAGGGGAAATGAGTTTTGAAAAAAGGGGGGAGAAAGGCGAAATATTAATAAAAAGGGGGAATTTTTTAAAATTGAGGAAACACTGTGAAGCCTGAAATAATTTTTTTTTAGTTTTTAAATTATTATTTATTGTTTCCAAAGGGAGACAAAGTCAAATTTATTATTTTTTGCACTGCCTTCAATTGAGCCGTACCTGACAATCTATAATCAAAGTACGTTACAATTAATATTAAACATGGTGAACGAATTTTTAATATATGAATGTAAGATTTTTTTTAATTTAGAATAAAATAAAATTGCCTGCCTAAAAAAACAATTATTAAATTTAAAAAAAAAAGAAGAAAAAAAACTTGTACCATTTTATAAGTAGTTGTATAGTCAGTGGGACTGACGAACATGATGGAAGTGTTTTTGTGTGTGTCTCGTAAACGAAGAAATGTGGCAACAGTGCGCGAATTCAGCTACCGTCGGGCGGGAGAAATGATGCAGGCACACGCACTTGGAAAAGATCGTCGACACCACAGCGCACACAACACATACATATATATATATATATATATATATATAGAAAAAGAGAACTGAGAAATGTAAGAAGTCACCAGAGGCCACGCGCGGCGACTCAGCTGGTCATCATTCATTCAATTTTCCATTTCTCTCTTTTCAAATTTTACAACACTTTTCAAAACTCTATATATATATATATTGTAAATTGAGCTCAAGTTTTGGAGAATGTATTTCCTCAATTTCACTAACATACACACAAGTTTCGATGATGTATGTTAAAATATTCCTTTTTCCGACAGTTCACAAAACTTTCCACTCGGAAAAGTAAAACTTGCCCCGTCTAACACGAATACGATGATGACGCGACAACGAAAAATCAACAAACAAAAATTTTTTGTCGATAAGTAAAAAAAAAGAATTTAATTTTATTTTAAAAAAAACACAGACACAGTTTTAGAGAAATAAAAAGTAAAAAAAATAACTGCCGAAATTCCCGGAAGTTGAAATTAATTGAACGAGGAACGAAACTTAAACCTCTTGGAATGAAAGACTACGCACGACTGGTTAGCTCCTCTCTTTTTCCTTTCTCAAACCATCAAGTAAAGTCGCAAAGTTTGTATTACGACGAGGAGTTGTGATGAAGGACGAGAGGGGAGGGGAGAGGTGAATGTGGAAGAAGAGCCAATGGTCGGCCAATCGAACTTCTCCACAGACCCCACTACCACTACCACCATCAACTTCTTCCACTTCTTCTTCTTCTTCTTTGGCACAAGCAGAGGAAATAGAAAACAGAAAAGACGAACAGCAGGCCTCGTGCTATCGTTACTGCCGTGTTTCCTCTTTTCTATTCTATATACATTCTCAGTTTCTGAACGGTTATATACACTGACTTTGCCAAGCAAAAGAGAGAGAGAGAGAGAAGCATGTGGACGTATAGGTCGATTATCGTTTGTCCGACATCGCGTCCAATCACCTACTACACAATGTAGATTCGTAATTTCTCTGTGTATAAACTATTTCGAACTTTCATTTTTAAAAAAAATTTATCATGATTTTTAAAATATTATCATTATTAATTTTTGGTATTTTCAGTTGGAAAATTGAATGGAATGACCCCAAAAAATCCAAAAAAAACGGTTATAATTTTTAAATAAATTTACAGATCGTTATGAAACTTGGTAATTATGTTCTTTGCGATAAATAGCGTCCTTTACTAGCAAAAACATAAATTTTTGGAAAGAAAAGAAAAACCATTACGGAATGACCCAAAAAAAATTCAAAAAACTGTTATAACTTCTATATACAAAGTTACGAATTATTGTAAAACTTTGCGATTAAGCTCTTTACAATGAATGACATATTTTAATGAAAGAAAAATTCAATTTCAGGAAAAAATTGTATAATTATTACGGAATGACCCAAAAAAAATCCAAAAAACGGTTATAATTCTTAAATAAATTTACGAATCGATATGAAACTTGGTAATTATGTTCTTTGCGACAAATGAGACTCTCCTATGGCAAGAAAAATACAAATTCAGGAAATAAATTTTTTAATTATTACGGAATGACCCAAAAAAAAATCCCAAAATCGATTAACTTCTATACGAAGTTACGTATCATTGTAAAATTTTGTACTTAAGCTCTTTACAATAAATGACACACTTTTATGAAAGAAAAATTCAAAATAAGAAAAAAAAATTGTAAAATTATTACCGGAATTACCCCCAAAAAAAAAAAATTCAAAAAACGATTATAACTACTAAATGAATTTTCAGATCGTTATAAAACTTGGCAATTATGTTCTTTGCGATAAATTATACCCTTTACTAAAGCAGAAACATAAAAAAGTAGGAAAAAAAATGAAAAATTATTACGGAATGACCACAAAAAAAATCAAAAAAACGGTTATAACTTCTAAACGAATTATTGCATCGTTACAAAATTTGGTAATTATGTTCTTTGTGATGAATAGCGTCCTTTACTAGCAAAACATACAAATTTTTGAAACAAAGTGAAAAATTATTGTGGAATGACCCCAAAAAAATCCAAAAAACAGTTATAACTTCTAAACAAATTTACAAAACGTAATGAAACTTGGTAATTATGTTCTTTGCGATAAATAACACCTTTTAGTAGCAGAAAAATATAAATTAAAAAAAAAGTGGTATTACTATTACGGAATGACCCCAAAAAAATTCAAAAAACGGTTATAACTTCTGTACAAAGTTACGGATCGATATGAAACTTGGTAATTATGTTCCTGTGTGATAAATAACACTCCTTTGTAGCAGAAAAATACAAATTCAGAAAAAAAATTGTATAATTATTACGGAATGACCCCCAAAAAAATTCAAAAAAACCATTATAACTTCTAAAAAAATTTACGGATCGTTATGAAACTTGGTAACTATGTTCTTTGCTATAAATAACGCCCTATAGTAGCAGAAAAATACAAATTCAGGAAATAAATTTTTTAATTATTTCGGAATGACCCAAAAAAAACCAAAAAACAGTTATAACTTCTATACAAAGTTACGGGTTACTGTAAAACTTTGTAATTATACTCTTTAGAATGAATGGCAAACTTTTATGAAAGAAAAAATTCAAATTCAGTAAGAAATAATTATTATTTATGCGGATTGACCCCGAAAAAATCTAAAAAACAGTTATAACTTTTAAACGAATTACTAGATCATTATGAAACTTAGTAAATATGTTCTTTACAATGAATGGCATCAACGTATAACAGAAAAAATCAAATTCAATAAGAAATAATTATGATTTTTTGCGGATTGACCCCAAAAAAATTCAAAAAAACCATTATAACTTTTAAACAAATTACTGGATCATTATGAAACTTGGTAACTATGATCTTTACTATAAATTACACCCTTTTGTAGTAGAAAAATACAAATTCAGAAAAAAAATCGTACAATTATTACGGAATGACACGAAAAAAAAATCCAAAAAACGCTTATAACTTCTAAATAAATTAATGGATCGTTATGAAACTTGGTAATTATGTTCTTTGCGATAAATGACACTCTCCTATGGCAAGAAAAATAAAAAATTCAAAAAAATTTATATATATTTTCGCATCTTTCATTGACTTTTTTTGTTCTGGAATAAGCATTGCGCGTTCAATGGTTTACTCTAGGTATATATGTATACCTATATGTATACACTTTATATATTGCTGCGATTAATCCAACTACTCATGCACGACTTATTAAACCCACATTTACATGATATCATAAACCATCAGACACAGTCGATAGTATCGCGTCAGAGCGTTGACGTTCGCCTTCGCTGCATTTACTCCTACATCAACATTTAGCAAACCTTCAATTACTCTACACTCTGCACTTACAATATAATTTTTAATTAATTTATAAATTTTAATTTCAATGTTCATTTAATTATTTTCGGTTACTGTAGGCTCAATTTAGGCTAAAAGTAGGTCAAATATGGGTTCTATGCAGGGTCAATATAGATACTATGTAGGTCCAATAAAGATACTATTTAGGCCTAATATAGGGTCAATGTAGGATCAATGTAGATTCTATGTAGGCCTAATGTAGGATCAATATAGATTCTATGTAGGCCCAATGTAGGATCAATATAGATTCTATGTAGGCCCAATGTAGGGTCAATATAGATTCTATGTAGGCCCAATGTAGGGTCAATAAAGATTCTATGAAGGACCAATGTACGTCCAATATACGTTCTATGTAGGCCCAATATAGGTCCAACGTAGGATCAATGTAGAGTCATTATAGATTCTATGAAGGTCCAATATAGGGTCAATATAGATTCTATGAAGGCTCAATGTAGAGTCAATATAAATTCTCTGTAGGACTAATATAGGTTCTATGTTGGTTTAATGTAGGATCAATGTAGGATCAATACAGATACTATGAAGGCTCAATGTAGGATCAATATAGATTCTATGTAGGCCCAATATAGGTCTTATCTAGGTCCAACGTAGTTTCAATGTAGATCTTATATAGGTTCTATGTTGGCCCATTGTAGGGTCAATACAAATTCTATGTAGGACTAATATAGGTTCTATGTTGGTTCAATGTTGGTCTAATATAGGATCGATGTACGATCAATATAGATACTATGTAGGCTTAATGTAGGATCAATATAGATTCTATGTAGGCCCAATGTAGGGTCAAAATAGATTCTATGTAGGCCCAATATAGGTCCAACGTAGTTTCAATGTAGATCTAATATAGGTTCTATGTTGGCCCAATGTAGGGTCAATATAAATTCTATGTAGGCCCAGTATAGATTCAATATAGTGTCAATATAGGCTCTATAAAGGCCCAATGTAGGTTTGATTATGTATTCTTTATAGACCCAATAAAAATTCAATGTAACTTTAATAATGTTAAAATAATGTATTAGTTAAATTTGATTTAAAAATTGTTTTAACTAAAAATATATTAAGAATAATATTTTTGTGTTATATTTAATATATTTTTTTTTTAAACAAATTTTTGATTTCCCCGAATTTCAATATAAGAAGAAAATTTTTGATTTAAAATATAATGCGAGGAAAGGCAATGTTAATAAAATGGGATGGGGGAAAAAAAAATTGAAAATATGAAGGGGACTGAATCTCTGTTTCTTTCTCGTGTGTGTGTGTGCGGATCTAGCGAAACGGCAAAAATCTGTATTTCCATGACGAGGCGCTATATTGAGACATCGGTGGCGATTCGGGATTGGCTAAGGCGAGGACATCCAAGAGAGTGAATATCCAACTAAATCAATGTAGGACATTTATATTGGTCCAGAAAAATTGCTGACTGTCGCTGCGTGGACACTCGAAACGTATTAAGATTTCTGATTTCACCTCTCTTCTCGTAAGACGAAAGATAGAGAGAGAGGGAGGACATTTTTATTATTACAAGTTTTTCTATTTTTCTTTCTCTCATCTCCAATTCAGTTCTTCAAAAAAAAAAAAAAGAAAAAAAAAATTGAAATATTACTTTATCCATAAATTCTTTTATTAAAAAACAGCCTCAAAACTAAAATATGTATTTAAAATACAGATTATTATTATTTTTTTTTATTATTATTAAAAATGTTACTACTAGGAGATAAAATTGAAAAAAAAAAAAGAAATTTACTTCCAAGAACATTTTTGCATATAGATAATGATATTCTAAGCGTAGTGTGTCTTACCGGTAGAGGTGACACGTGAGAGGAAGTACGACACATAATATTATAACCAACAGTCCGGAACTTAATTATTATAAATGCCAAGAAAGACTTACAAGTAATTAAACAAGTGGAAGATAGTTATAACTTTACTTCAAATAAAAAATGTTATTTTACAATTTAAAAAAATAAAAAACTATAAAATATTGTAAATAAAAAAAAGTAGTAGGTAAAAATAAATTAAAAAACTATAAAATATTGTAAATAAAAAAAAGGAGTATGTAAAAATAAATTAAAAAAATAAAGTTCAATTTTTAACTGCAAAAAAAAAAGAAAAAAAAAAAAAAAGATGTAACTAATGTCACGATGATAACGTCATTAATTGTAAAGACATTACATATTGTCAATAATA